CCTGAATTCTCTCTATAGAATCCCTCTTCCCAGAGCTTTAAACTCTACTGCTCTGTTGATGGACAAATGAGCAATTTAAATTTGTTTGACTCTGAATTGAATAGTTACAAGATATATTTAGAGCTTTTTTTTTTTCTTTTCTGAGATCTGGGATATGTTAGAGAACTAAAACAGATTAATTATCCATTACTGAGTTCCAGGAAACAGCCTCCCATACAACTAGTGCGCACTTATATGTTTGTCCAAAAACAGTTGAGGTGACAGGTATCAGCAGATAAAGAAGAATGAAAGGGCTAAATCCTAACATCTGAGACTGTGTCCTAAACTGGCCTCCCAAAGAGATTCTCAGAGGACAGATGATCTTGAAAGGTATGGGAAGCACAAGCGCCTTCCAAACCTACCCTGTAGGAAGTGCCAGCTCAGCCCAGGCATGGAAAATGAATGGGGCCTCACTGGGTCACTGAGGAAGCCTGCAGCATCTTATACAGATGGGTGAGATCCAGGCCACTGCCTAGCTCAATTACTTGCTAGGACGATTCCTCTGAATTTTTGAGGAATTTTTCTTTGGTTGGTGCTGGGCAGCACATGGGAACAGGCTGAGGGTGCTGAGGTTCAGCCAGGTGAGCAATAGCCTAGAAACTCACCCTCTGAAAAGCCTACATCAGGGGTCACAAACTCTCAGCCCAAGGGCAAAATCTGGCTCCCAGATGTGTTTTGCACAGTGTTAGTTTTCAGTGTTTTTAATATTTTTAAAGTAATTGCCAATGTTTTACAGTGGACAAGTTTCATGTAAAAATCTAGATTTTTTTGCATGAGTTATAATGTAGAAAACCTTGACTATCCTGGTCACTGCTATATCCCAGAACCTAGAACAGTTCCTGGAATGTAATAACTCTTTAATAAATATTTTTTGAATCACTGTTTTTTTAAAAAAAACAAAACCCAGTCCTATGAAGTAGGAATTATTGTCACCATTTTACAGTGAATGAAAGAAATCTCAGGGCTTCCCTGGTGGCAGAGTGGTTAATAATCCGCCTGCCAATTCAGGGGACAAGGGTTCGAGCCCTGGTCCAGGAAGATCCCACATGCCGTGGAGTAACTAAGCCCGTGTGCCACAACTACTGAGCCTGCACTCTAGAGCCTGCAAGCCACAACTACTGAGCCCATGTGCTACAACTACTGAAGCCCGTGCACCTAGAGCCCGTGCTCCACAACAAGAGAAGATACTACAATGAGAAGCCCACGCACCACAACGAAGAGTAGCCCTCACTTGCCGCAACTAGAGAAAGCCAGCATGCAACAACGAATACCCAATGCAGCCAAAAATAAATAAATAAAATAAATTTATTTTAAAAAATAATAAATCTCAGAGAATTTAAGTCACTCACCAAAGGTCACATAATTAATAAGCAGCAAAATATTTGGACTCAGGCATGTTGACTTCCAAAGCCAGTGTTCTGTTCACTACTCCACACTGCACAGCATCCTACACTTGTGGGCCTTTCACAGTCACAAAAGCCTTTCGATTTAGATTTTTTAAAAACAGCCGAATTGAGGTACAATTAACATACTATACAATTCACCCATTTAAAGTGTATGATGCAATGTTTTTTCATTTTATTCACAAGGTTGAACAATCATCACCACAGTCTAATTTTAGAACATATCTGTTCCCCCAAAAGAAACCCCATTAACAGTCAATTCCTATTCCCCTCTCCAACTCTCCCTCCCCCATTCCCACCTCTCCCAGCCCTAAGCAATCACTAATCTACTTTCTGTTTATATAAATTTGATATTCTGTAATCTTCTGCAAAGGAGGCAAGAATATACAAGGAGAAAAGAGAGTCTCTTTAGCAAATGGTGTTGGAAAAGCGGGACAGCTACATGTAAAAGAATGAAATTAGAACACTCCCTTACACCATATACAAAAATAAAATGGTTAAAATACCTAAATATAAGACATAACACCATAAACTCCTAGAAGAGAACATAGGCAAAACATTCTTTGACCTAAATCGTAGCAATATTTTTTTGGACCTGTCTCTTAAGGCAAAGGAAACAAAAGCAAAAATAAACAAATGGGACCTAATCAAACTTATAAGCTTTTGCATAGCAAAGGAAACTATCAACAAAATTAAAAGACAACCTATGGACTGGGAGAAAATATTTGCACATGATGCAATTGACAAGAGGTTAATATCCAAAATGTACAAACAGCTTATGCAACTCAATATCAAAAAAAAAAAAAACCCAACCCAGTCAAAAGATGGGCAGAAGACCTAAACAGACATTTCTCCAAAGAAGACATTCAGATGGCCACAGGCACATGAAAAAATGCTCCACACCACTAATTATTAGAGAAATGCAAATCAAAACCACAATTGGGCACTACCTCATACCGATCAGAATGGCTATCATCCAAAAGTCTATATAAAGATGTTAAAAAAAGAAAAAAGTCTATAAAAAAATGCTGGAGAGGCTGTGGAGAAAAGGAACCCTCCTACACTATTGATGGGAGTGTAAATTGGTGAAGCCACTATGGAGAACAGTATGCAGGTTCCTCAAAAAACTAAAAATAGAGCTACCATATATCCAGCAATTCCACTCCTGGGCATATATCTGGAAAAGTTGAAAACTCCAATTTGAAAAGACACATGCACTCCAATGTTCATAGCAGCACTATTTACAATAGCCGAGACATGAAAATAACCCAAGTGCGCATCAACAGACGATTGGTTTAAGAAGGAATAGACAAATTAAAAAATTTGTCCAGTCTGGAAATTTCATATAAATGAAATCATACAATATGTGATCTTTGGTAACTGGCTTCCTTCACTTAGCATAGTGTTTACAAGGTTCGGCCACGCTGTAGCATTTATCAGTACTTCAGTATATTGATTTATAATGTGTTAGTTTCATGTATACAGCAAAGTGATTCAGTTATACATTCTTTTTCAGATTCTTTTCCATTATAGGTTATTACAAGATATTGAATATAGTTCCCTGTGCTATACAGTAGGTCTTTGTTGTTTATCTATTTTGTATATGGTAGTGTGTATCTGCTAATCCCAAACTCCTAATTTATTCCTCCCTACCCCTTTTCCCCTTTGGTTACCATAAGTTTGTTTTCAATGTCTGTGAGTCTCTTTCTATTTTGTAAATAAGTTCATTTGTATCATTTTTTTAGATTCCACATATAAGTGATATCATATAATATTTGTCTTTCTCTGTCTGACTTACTTCACTTAGTATGATAATCTCTAGGTCCACCCATGTTGCTGCAAATGGCATTATTTCATTCTTTTTTATGGCTGAGTAGTATTTCCATTGTATATGTGGGTATACATTTATATGTGTGTATATGTGTATATATATATATATATATATAAAATCACATTTTCTTTATCCTTTCATCTGTCGATGGACTAGTACTTCATTACTTTTTATTGACAAATAATATTTTATTGTATGGATACACCAAAGTTTATTTATCCATCCATCAGTTGATGGACATTTGGGTTGTTTCCACTTCTTGGCTATTATGAATAATATTGCTATGAACATTCATGTTAATTTAGATTTTTGACATTGTTTCAAAAGTTAGTCATTGTAATTTTTTGTGTTAAAAGCAATAATTTAAGTGGATACATTAAAAACCTACTGTATTTTTAGAAATTTCATTTTGACACTTCATTTTTAAAAATATAGCTGAAGTCTCAAAAAAGTCAGAGTATCCAGCTCACTCTTGACCTCTGAGAGGCACTGATGCTGCTGCCTCCAACAAATGAGCCCCTTTTATCCAGTAAGAAAACAAACTCCTCAGAGTCAGAAAAACTGTCTTACACTTCCTGGCACAGCCATGATGCCTAAGTATAATACATGCATTTGGTAACTATTTGTTGACAGTATAGCTCTTCCAGAAAGGATACGATGGAGTGGGAGGATTAAGTGATAACCAATGGGAGGTTGTGGGATGGGAGAGAACAAATTCTAAAGAACAAATTCTAACGCAGGTGTTTTCCTTCGACCCACCGCCCTCCCTTTGCTGTTAGTCTGGTCCGGAAGATTTCTGTTGATGTAGTTCACTAAGGGATGCTAACTTAGATGGAATATGTAAACTAATAAGGACATGAATCTTAGCTGAAAAATGGAAAATTTCTCTAGATCTCGACAAAGAGAAGGTCAGCATAGTGTTTCTCCCACAAATTGGGCCAAACAGAAGCTTCCTTTTAAAGTAGGATAGGCAGCAATCCCTTGTCTAATCAACCTGTGGAGTTAGCGAATGTCTGTGGCAGAAGAAAGGAGACGAAAAATGGAAAGAGCAATGGAAAGGAGACAGCCAAAACATTCTGTGTGGGAAAACTCTCCTACAACTGCGTCAGTCTGGAAGGACAGGCAAGGATCTCTGGAATATTTTGTCATTATAACAGTTTATTAATATGAATAGATACAGCTAGAAAGCACAAGGGCAAGGAGAATGGATGACCTGCTTCTTTATTGTGAAGCAACAAGTGAACCGATTTGGAAACACAAGAGGAAAATGGAGATGTCGTGGAGCCCTGCCGAGTTCCATCCTCCAGCTTTTCTCGTGTCCTTCCCCCCACCTGGAAGATCTTCCCTCCTCCCCTCACTCTATCTAAGGCTCGTGCTATCCCTGAGACCCATGACTACTCCAGCGCCCTTCTCCCCTGGACTCCTACAACACATCTTCTGTGTACCCCACAATTCCTACTAGATCAAGCATACTGTCTTTCAAAGGTTCTTATATGTGTGTTTTATAGAACCCTTTGTACACTCCTCAAAGACAAGGGCCATTTCTGCTGCTTCTGCTACATCTCCCAGAGTACCGAAGGCCTAATAGACCCTCTGTTTGGCCTTGCTGACTGACTGAAGGGTTCCGTTCAGGCTTCTTGTTCCTGCCAGTGATGCAGAGAGCACAATAAAGTCCTTTCATTATGAAATGACAAAGTCAAAGATAGAAGGGCTGAGAAAGTACTCACACAGAATTATTTATTGTCTCAAATGTCTCATGGCAGCCAGATCTCAGAATCTTCAGACTTGATAGATGTGGAAATAATTTTGATGTATGTGATGGTGCTTTTTGGATTAGTATTTAACTTGAAGTGTGTAAATTAATAAATAAAAACATGGGTTACATGAGTCAGGAAAAGGGAAGATTTTCTTTTACATACTTAACTGATATCCCCCCAAAGTTCTTTTTTCCCCCATGTTCAATAGCTGCTAGGTGTTCATAGTGGAAATTATTGCTTTTTATATTTCTGATCGTAACAGTGCAACCAGAAGAGAGGATCTGATTAGGGGGAGAAAAATGGAGAGAGAAATTAATATTGGCTTTATTTTAATCACTGAATGTCCCAAAGCTATTTAGGGTGTAAACAGCAATCAATATTTAGGAAAGAAAGCTGGATGAGTTCTGCTACTATGAGTTCTGAATCTTTCCTCTTCCATGGCAATTTTTTGGATATTGTGTGCTCTTACGGGATCCCAGCTTAGGATACAGATACCGTTTGTAACTCTCCCATGATGCCTTAATCTTTTAAGCATTAAGTACATTAAGGAGGCTCATGAGAATTGCTAATCAGCCTTGTGAAACTGCAGCAATGCTTCCTAGGGATCTAAAAGTGTTCACACCCACCCACACAGTACAAGGTGGAAAATATTGTACTAGCTCTGTTTTCTTGTAACAGTCCAGTGACATGGCTTCCTTATTGCCTTCCGGGCTGCAGTTAAAGAACTTGCTCTAAAACAAGACTAGACTTGTAGATAGAAAACATCACTTAAGATTTTCTTTCCTAGATTAATGGGATTCTAGTTTGGGTTTCAAAGGGCTCTTTGTACAGCTTACAAAAGATTCTGGGTCTTTGAATATTTCTATTCTAGTAAAATTTGGAGTTCTGACCTATATTTAATATAGGACTTTTCTGGGTTATGGAAAAATATGGACTGTCACCTAATGTGTTGTCAATTTTCTTTAACCCTCTGTGTAAATGGTGCACATTAAAGAGCCAGGTTTACTGTTAAACAGATTTTTCTTTATAAACATAATGACAAAGAGATACACAACATCAGTTAAAGAGAAGAATGTGACTAGGTCCACTGCTGCCTGTGTCTTGGAGCAAGAGAAGGGCTCATCCCAGAAATAATTACCTTTCCTTCTAGGGGAAGAGGACACGACCCTGGAAAAAACTTGAGTTTTTACTTAGCTACAGATCTTGGTTGTCAGATCCAAATGGTCCCATCGCAATTCTTTTTTCCCGGGCAGTGCGTAGATCTTTGACAAGTGATGAATGACCTCTGCTTCTTGTGCTTAGGCCCGGGACTGGACTCTGTGACCAGGGATTTGGTGTGCGGGGCCTCACAGGCTGCAGAGAGATATTAACATGTGAGCGCATGTGCAAAATGTGGTCTCATGTGACAGATCCAAAGAGAAAGCCTCTTCAGCCATGGTTTTATCAGAATAGCTCTGTGAACTACCATAATAAATGAAAGAATAGAATCTATGAGTCCAAGACCTGCCTGTTTTGATTGCAGTCAGCAGCCTAATGTGGAGAATATGCCTGAATTTCCCACCCAAGGCTTGGACCTCCACACGGTGATCTTTGGGGTTAGCCTGTGTTTTCTATGTCTTTATTAATATGTAGTCGTAGCAGCAGCTATGGGAACTGTAGTAGCAATGACTAAAGAGCTTTATTCTTCATGTGTGCTAAGGTGGATTCACTCAGGGTGAACAGCCCCTGGGGACACAGCGCTGCTCTATTTTCACCTTATAAACCAAAGTAGTGATGGCCATAGTTGAGTTTGTACCTAGGTTAAAGCATTCCCAGGAATCTAGGCTGTTCTAATGTTAATCTAGGTTTCTGTATTACTCTATGAAATAGTAAGAGAGTTATCTATCTCATTCCCAAATGTATTCTTAGCTTAGGGCCAAAGTACAAATGGAATTCCATTTACTAAACGTCTAAATATTTAAATGTTATAAATCAAGCTAGTAGGGATTTCCCTGGTGGTCCAGTGGCTAAGACTCCCACCCACTGCAGGGCTCCCGGTTTGATCCCTGGTCAGGGAACTAGATCCCGCATGCTGCAACTAAAAGATCCCGCGTGCCGCAGGATCTTCTAAGACTGGGCGCGGCCAAATAAATAAATAAATATTTTTTAAAAATCAAGCTAACAAACGGTTTTGTTTTGTTTGTTTTTGTGGTACGCGGGCCTCTCACTGTCGTGGCCTCTCCCGTTGCGGAGCATAGGCTCCGGACTCGCAGGCCCAGCGGCCATGGCTCACGGGCCTAGCCGCTCCGCGGCATGTGGGATCTTCCCGAACCAAGGCACTGAACCCGTGTCCCCTGCATCGCAGGCGGACTCTCAACCACTGCACCACCAGGGAAGCCCCAAACTTTTTAAAAATATATATATATATTTATTGACTTGGCCGCACCGCGTCTTAGTTGTGGCATGCGGGATCTATTTCCCTGACCAGGGATCGAACCCGGGCTTCCTGCATTGGGAGCACGGAGTCGTAACCACTGGACCACCAGGGAAGTCCCCAAACTGTTAACTAAAATACATACTATCACCTACATTGACAAAAAGACCAGGTTTGAATTTGGAATTTTTGCAGTCTTTGGAGCTCCTTACCAGAATGTGGTGGTGCAGGAAAACTGCATTATAAATAAATGCACCATGTTTTTCTTTTGTGATAGGATCAAGCAAAATAGAATACATCAGAATTGTGTATTTGCAGGGAGCAAACCTCTAGTGGTACTACAAATGGTGAATTTTTTTAAATTTTAATTTAATTAATTTATTTTTTGGCCATGCTGTGAAGCATGCAGGATCTTAGTTCCCCAACAAGGGATGAAACCTGTGCCTCCTGCAGTGGAAGCATGGAGTCTTAACCCCTGGACCGCCAGGGAAGTCCCTTGTGTATGTATATATCTTCCTCCTTCATTAAATAAATAGGAAAAATTTTATTATGATGTCTAATGAATTTAATGGGATTATTTCTGATTTTTTATATTGGGTCGGCCAAAAAGTTCATTCGGGTTTTTCCCATAAGATGGTACAAAAACCCGAACGAACTTTTTGGCCAACCCATACTTGACTATTCTTTAATTAATCTCAAAAGCCTAACCCCAAAGTTTGATATATGCCCACTTACATATATGCAGAGAGAACACCATGCCTTGTATAATATTTCTTATTTCACAAATAACTTACAATTTTAGCTACATATTATATTGTATTTTTGCTATTTAAGGAAAAAGAACCAACACATTATTTATTATCTTGTTTTTCATTACTTAAAAAATTGAATAAATCGATTGTGACGGGTCATATCATTTTAACTTTTAATTTGTAAGTCTCACCTGCACATGAATGTTTGTAGCAACTTTATTCATAATCATTAAAAACCAGAATCAACCTTCAGTAGGTGAAATGAAAAACAAAGTGTGGTATATCCATACAATGAAATATTGTTCACAGACAAGAAATAAGCTCTCAAGCCACAAGACTTGGGTGAACCTCCTTGAACATGTATCGCTAAGTGAAACAAGTTAGCCTGAAAAGGCTACATATGTATGATTATAATTATATGACATTCTAGAAAAGGCAGAACTACAGAGATAATAAGAAGATCACTGATTGTCAGTTGTTTGCGGGGAGGAAGAGAGGATGGAAAAGAGGAAGCACAGAAGATTTATAGTGTGGTTAAACTATTCTGCATGATACTGAAATGGTGGATACATGGCATTATGCATTTGTGAAAACCCGTAGAACTATACAGCACAAGAATGAAACTTAATGAATACAAATTAAAAAGAAAATCATTTAGGAGGTCAGGGAATCCCAGGAAAAACCCAGACTATGACAAGAGAATATAACCGTAACCTCAATTTAAATACATATTTTTGTTACAGACAGTGTTATGATGATGAAAAATGTTTTCAAGCATAAACATATAGTATATTAGAATAAAATTCTGTCTGGAAGTTATTTCAAAATGGAAATGTAAGCTTAAAAAAAGACATTAAATTTTCAACTTCAAAGAAGAGCTTGTTTATTTTATAATTTTTTTAAATGGATGATGGTAGGTATCGAACTGTTATAGATTTAGTTGGATGTTTAAAGTGATGTAACAGTTTTTTGTGGGGTTTTTTTGCGGTATGCGGGCCTCTCACTGCTGTGGCTTCTCCCATCGCGGAGCACAGGCTCCGGACGCGCAGGCTCAGCGGCCATGGCTCATGGGTCCAGCCGCTCTGCGGCATGTGGGATCTTCCCGGACCGGGGCACGAACCCGTGTCCCCTGCATCGGCAGGCGGACTCTCAACCACTGCGCCACAAGGGAAGCCTGATGTAACAGTTTTAATTTAAAATATCAATATATATAAATGCTGGACTATGTAGATGTTAGAAATTAGATGCTTTGTGTCTATTTAAACTTAAAAAAAATGTTTGATGCCAATGAAAAAAGGTGAAGAGGTGACGTAGCTTTTCACAATTCTTTTAGAGGGTCCATGAGCAAAAGAGTTGGAAGTTCAACATCCTAGACAGCATCTTACATGATGTTCTGCAGGACTTGGCAGACTTCTGTGAAGGGCCAAATATTAATAGTATATATTTTAGGCTTTGTGGGCCTGATGGCCTGTGTCAAAACTGCTCAGCTCTGCTATTGTAGTATGAGAGTAGCCACAGACAGTTTGTAATGAATGAGTGTGGTTGTATTCCAATAAAATTTATCTGTGGGCACTGAAATTTGAGTTTTGTACACATTTTATTTCAGAAAATATTATTCTTCTTTTGATTTTTTTCAACCATTTAAAAATATGAAAATCATTCTTAGTCCACAGGGTGTGTAAAAACAGAAGTCAGGCCAGATTTGACCTGAGAGTTATAATTTGTTGATCCCTAATTTACAGTAATTTGGTAAAATAGTTTTACAAATTAGTGAGTCAGTAGTCTCAAAGTTAGACTGTAATCTGTCTCACATTTGCCAAAGCAAAGTCCTATATCCTTGAGGTCTTAAGCAAAATTATTCACAAATGTATAAAGTTAAACATGAAAGTTCCTCTATTGCCAATAATGCCATTCCCCAGAGGCAACCTCTGACTTCAAATATTCAACTGTGCAGTCACACACACAAATACAACATATGTGGTTTTAAAGAAACTATATATAAATGTATATGGATTTTTTAAAAAAGGGACAACATATATGTTGTGCTGCAATTTGATTTTTCAGTTTACAATATATTTTCAACATCTTTCCTAGTCATTATTTTTAACAAGAATTCTTGAAACTTAGTCGACATTTGAGTCATTTCCAATTTTGAAATGATAAGCAATGAGCATCTGTATGTATCTCTGTCTCTATCTCTCTCTCTATCTCTATATCTATATATGTTTGTACACATGGATGAATATTTCTGTAGGATAGATTCCTAGAAGCAGTATTACTGGATCAAAGATATCCACATTTTTATGTTGATGGGGTCATCCAAAAGTTTATCCTAGGGTTTCTCAACCTTGGTACATTTAGGGCCGGATAATTCTTTGTTGTGGGGCTGTACTGCACATTGTAGGATGTTTAGCAGCATCTCTGGCCTCTACACATTAGATGCCAGTAGCATCTCCCCTGTTGTGACAATCAAAACTGTCTCTCGATATTGCCAAATGTCCCCTGGAAGGGAGGGGGGGCAAAATCATCTTGGGCTGAGAACCACTACCCTGGACACTTGTTTTTCTTTTTTCTTTAATTTCTTTTTCTCCCTATCCCCCTTTCAACAACTTATCATGTTATCCTTCCTTTAAAAAGGAAAAGTGCTTAAAGGAATTTGTGACTTAGTGTATATCACCCCTCTGTTATGGGATAAATTGTGTCTCCCAAAATTCATGTGTTGAAGTTCTAACCCCCAGTACCTCAGAATGTGACTGTATTTGAAGATAGGGTCTTTAAAGAGGTTATTAAGTTAAATGAGATTGTAAAAATGGACCCTAATCTAATATGACTGATGTTCTTATAAAAAGGAGAAATTTTAACACAGAATTGTACAGAGGGAAGACCACATAAAGATTGGGAGAAGGCAGTCATCCACAAGCTAAGGAGAGAGGCCCCAGAAAACAGCCCTGCCAACACCTTGATCTTGGACTTCTAGCCTCCAGAAATTGTTTTCTGAAAATAAACTTCTGTTGTTAAAGTCAGCCAGTCTGTGGTACTTTGTTATGGCAGCCCTGGCAAATTATTACACCTTCCCAGTGTATTTGAATTTTAAATAAAGAATGAATGAAAAAGGCAATGACTTATCCAAAGGTACAACTATCTAACAATGGGATTTGGTGGGGGAGATAACTTTTCTGAGAGGATTC